CTGGCCTCGTCGGGCACCGCTGGAAAAAGCGCCTTCTGCTGCGACCGCGCGGCCAGGTCCTTCTCGACGCCGGGCGGGGGCTCCTCGCCATCCGCGATCGAGCGCCAGTCGAGCTCGTTGGCCAGGTCCCAACGCTCTTCGGACTTCCACATGTTCGCTGAGGCCCCCCTCGGCTGCTTCCAGCCCGCCGCGCAGCTGGCGCCCGTGAAGGCTCGCCTCAGCGCGTGGGCTCGCGCGCGCAGGGTCTCGCAGCCAGCCGTCGCGATGAAGTCGGGCGAGGCCTCCAGCATTCGGTCGAGCGTCGTGCAGCGAAGCATCATCTCGTGGCCAATGCGGTCACTGCGCACCTCCTTGCGCTGGCCCCAGTCCGCGGCGAACGCGCCCATGCCCCCGCACTTCCCGCGCGTCTGCGCCGGGGGCTCGGAGGCCGCCAAGGCCGTCAGCCCTGGGGGGGGGGCTCGAAGGCGGGCGCACACGTAAACTTCGTGAAATTCCCCATCGGGCGCGCGCGGGGGCCCTTCAGAGACTCGCGCAAGGGGCCTAGGTTGACCCCCGTCTCCTCCAGCACGGATGGGGCAAGGTGAAGCGCAGGAGCCTCGGAGGGCCCCGCCGTCGCCGCCGTCGAGCTCTGGTCTGCCACGGCCCGTCGGTTTGGCTGCTGACGGCCCGCCTGGGCGGTCCTCTCGAACTGCTGCAATCGGTCCATCATGCGGCCCGCGTGCATACCGATGTCCGGGGACGATGGGGCGCGCCCCCCCAGGCTCCCGCGCTCGAGTCGGGGCCCCCCATGCCGAAGAGTCAGAGCGACGAGGGCTGCTCCTGAGAGCGGCGGTCGCGTCGATCGCGCTGCACCTCGCCCAGCAGTTGCATCATCTTCTTCATCTCCGTCACCTCCATGCTGCCCTCCGGCTCGGCGTCCGACGCCACCGAGTGCCCCGCCTCCCCGCCGCTGTCCACGTCGCCCCCAGAGGGCGCGATCCCCCCGAACCACGGAAGGGGTCGGCGACGCGCCCGGCTCCAGAGGGCGGGGGGCAGCACGAATGAGAGGATCAGCAGCGGGAGCTCGAGCCGACCGTCCTGGTACAGGTCGTACAGGCAGGCGCGGAAGTCGTCCAGCTCCATGAGCATTGAGTGGGTATCGCCCATCTTCTGGACCGCCCATCTTGCCCAGCTCCAGGCTCGGAAGTGCACCGCGGCCCCCCCGGCGAAGAAGAGCAGCCCCACTGCGCAGCCACGAGAGCCCCGATCCCCAAGAGCGCCAGCGCGCAACGCCGAACTCCACGTGCAGCTGCTTCTCGGTGCCGGCCTCCAGGGCCGTCGTCTTTTTCTCGGCGGTCAGAGCAGGGAAATGGACGTGCGCGACCTGGGGCTGCCTCTTCGCCGTGATCCCTGATGTCCACCGATCCCAACGCGCGGTCGGGGCGGACGAAGATCCAACGGGTGTCGCCCGTCTTCTTGGAGTAGAGCCGCATCAACATCAGGACGAACTCGCCCTGGCCACCACCGAAGTTCCGATAATCACATGCGGCTCCATCGGTGCACTTTGGACATTGACAGGCCGATGTACTCCCCGAAACTGATGCGCGAGGGCTCTCGCGCTCGTCGCGCTGGAGCGGGTCGGTCTCGCTCGCAGGCACGATCGGGCCCTTCAGGGCCCGCTCAATGAGTCCGGTGTCGCCGAGGAATGAGAGGGCGAGCCCTATCGCGAGGGCCTGGCGCCACGTGCGTTTGGCGCGCAGCCGCTCGCGTGTGGCAGCACGTGCGGATGGGGCTGGCTGCAGACCCCCGCGGCGGCTTGGGACACACAAGGCTTGAGCGACGCGACGGGGAAGTGAGCGCGCACCTCGTCACGACGCGGCCCCCTTCCCCCGACCAGAGCACGGATCAATTACTTTGAAAAAGATGAATCCTTCGTTTTGGGGTCCGGACCCTAAATTCCCGGAGTTGACGGCGTGCCTCCCGCGGCATGTCGCGGCTTCCCGCGTAAATTTGTTGTGGCCAAGTGGGCTCCAAAACGAGTCAGGTGGACCTAAAGAGGCCCCCAAGACGGTCCAAGAGGGCCCAGCATCGCCGAACGATCAACCCAAGACGCCTGGACTGGCCCCAAGACGGCCCCAAGAGAGCTCGAAGAGGCGTCCCTGTCAGCGCAGTTCTTTTAGCTCGGACTGCGCGGCAGTCAAAACTGCGGGTGCGTCCCAGGGCCCTAGGACTAGGGCCAAAACAGCGGCGGGCAGCGTGCATGCCACAAACCAAGACAAGCGCGTATATCATGCACACACGGTGACACGGGCGGCAGAGGGGCAGGGGAGTGCACTCTTCACACTGGGTGAGTACAATGCTGCCCCGATGCCGCTCCCTTCGAAAGGGAAACGCTGCACGCAATTATAATGTATATCAGCCCACAGGCCGAAACACCTCAAGCAAATGCGGCCTGAGGCTCAAGATATAAATATAAAATATGAATGTCTAGATTCACTAATCCAGACTGTCAACTCAAAGGATATGCATGAAACACCTCAAGCAAAGTGCGGCCTGAGGCTCAAAATATAAATACAAGAATACGAATGTCTGGATCCACTATTCCAGACTATCAACTCAAAGGATATGCATACATCACCGTAGCCCTCACTAGGTCCATCAGCAGCCGCAATCAGGACCTCACGGGCTCGCAGGCCCTGGAACGGCGACCCGACGCAGGGCCTTCCGCTCCTTGGCTCTCTCACGCTGTCCGCGGCGCAGCCGCAGACGGTGTGCCTCCTCATCCTCTTGCTCAGCAGTAGGCACCATGCTGAACAGTCCGTGGCGGAGGAACTGCGATAGCACCTCGTTAGGCTGCACGGCCTTTGTCAGCACGTCCGCTAGCATGTGGCTATTGGGCAGCCACTTGAACTTGATGGCCTCCTGCTCTATCAAATCCTTGGCCACCAACAAGTCAATGAGGGTCTGCCGAGACACCGGCATCGAGCCGATCTTGGACGTGTGATCGTAGAGCGACTTCGCATCCGTCACGAGCGCCCCTGGAACCTTCAGCGCCAGCCTCCAGTCCCCTTGCAAGGGCGGCTCCCCGTGCAAGATTGCCTCAATCAGCAGCCTGAGGTAAAGCTGCCGATCCAAAGCCACGGACATAGCCGCAGACTCTGCGGCCATCGTAGACCCAACAACTCGTGTAATAGTACTGCTCTGAAACTCCACTAGACAACATACAGTTAGCTCCTTCAACACTCGGGTATCCGTAATCATACTCATAAACCCCATCTGGCTCTTACAGCCGGGTTCCTTCGCAAACGAAGCGCCCATAAGCGCGAGCACCTGCGAGCGCTCGATGTCCACGCGGCGGATCCGGAGAGTCGCAAGACCTCTCTTGTCGTAGTCCTGAAGCCGGTCGATGATGTCATTGAGCACTCGCAGGTGCAGTAACCTCCGACCTTTCGGATCCTTCTGTGCGAGCGCCGAGACACTATACGCGAGCTGTGGCACCACGCGTGCGACAGGCCACCGCACCTTCTGGAGCAAGCTCCGGAAGTCGTGGTGCTCTTCGGGAGTCATCTCCCGCTCCTCGTCGCCACCCCTTGCAAGGGGGTGCTTTGTCAGCTTGCCGATGTACTCGTGCATGCTGATCTCGATGTGATCGGGGTGGCGCCACCACTCCTCACCGAGATAGGCGACTGCCTCCTTGTCGTTGCCCTCCTTCCAGTGCTTGATGTTGAAACGACTGTTGATGTTCGCCTTCACCTCCTGGTACTGGGGATCGTGCGGGTCTCCAAACAGCATGCCGTCATCGACGTGCAAGGTCAACATAGCAATCAACTTATCGTTCATCCGATAAACGAAGACAGCTCGAGCACAGCGCAGCTCCACGAAGCCGACCTCGTCCGTCAGCACCTGGCGGGCTCGGAGATACCACAACCGAGGCGCCTCCGTCAAACCGTGCGCCCCTTTCAGCAAGCGAAGCAACGCATAAGGTCGCACGGCTGGCCATCCAGCACCGTCGACGGCTGGAAGCCCGTCCTTAGGAGCCCTCACATACAGCTCCCGTTCCAGCTTCAGCCCGGACAGGAACGCAGTCGCTACGTCGAAGCACTCGAATGTCCAATCCATCGCCATTGTGATAGACGCACACACCAGCACAGCCAAAGGGGAAGTAGTAGGCGAATCCGTCCTGAATAGACCAAGCTGCGGGTCGAGATGGCCAGGGATGATCAAGCGCGACTTCGCCTCCAGCTCCAGCCCCCGCCCCTGGTTCGTGCGAACCGAACGCATGGGCACCGAGATGATCTTGTCCTTTGAGATGCTCTTTTCCTCCTCCTCGGTGACCAGCTCGACCGTGTTGTTGGCGATCCATTGCCGCCACTCAGCGGCATCGGCCTCGTCGAACTTAGCCTTCTCGTGCTGGTTGAAGTGACGTGGGTCTAACTCCTTCGCGTTCTGCTTCGTCACGAGTGCGAACACGTCGTGCTCGTACCGGGCCTCCTGCAGCCATGCGTCATATACAGATGACACGTTGATCCATTCCTCGTAAGTCATCGGCCGCCGTGCAAGACCCTCCGGAGTGTCCAAATAGTACACCCCTTGTGCCTGAGCGCCCGGCTTGTCGTGGTAGAAAAGCGTGAGACCAACCCAGCTGTCCTCCGTGCGCTCGTTGGTACGGCACGCGCCGTCGTCCTTGTAGGCGCACTGGCCCGTGGCAGAGAGCATCGCCGACAGGCGATTGCACTCCCGGTGGCGGTCGTGATCATAGAGTCTCCGCCGTGGCTCTTGATGTACACGTACTCCTCGCACGACCTTCTGAACGAGCGTGGAGACGCCATCCAAGGCATTCTGGTCGAACCACTCCTGGGGTCCCGAGTGCACCACAGCGTTCATGGCCACTTCGCGGAGGGCCGGCAAACCACTCGTAGGAGCAGCCTGCAGACGCGTCTTCTTGATGCAACTCGGCACGTCATCTACCAGGAACTTCCGCTTTCGCTCAAGCTCGAAATCGTCTCTGGGAATCGGCGGCACCGAAGGGCCGCCAGAGCCCGATGCTCCCGGAGAAGCTTTCGGGTACGTCTCAGAGGATATCCGGCCTGGAGGGGAACGAGAACGCGCCCTCCTCGGAGGGGGAAGCTGCGGCAGCTGCTGCTGCTCAGGCGGCTCCTCCTCCTTAGCCTGTGCCTCAATGGCGTCCAGGGCCCTCAGGTCCACGCGAGGCTGCCTGGACCCCTCGAGCTCCCTATGTCGGTCACGCTCCTTCTTCAAGAATGTCTTCCTCACCTTCTGAACCTTCACCTTGGGCGTGACGTCCACGATGTCGTGGTAGGCGCGATCATCTCGCTGCTGTGTCAGCCGCACGTCCGTCTGGATGGACTCCGCAGCTGCGGCCTCCTGGGAGGAGGCGTGCCGGAGCTGCTCACGAGCAACAAGTAGCACGTGACCACGCCATGATACGTAGTACCGGCTGTTGGA